ATTTTTAGTTAGCACATACCTTAAACACTTAAAGCTGTAAGCTAATGATAGTTATATAAGAGCAGATGCTGCTGGTGCAATAAGCTGTAGTTTTATGTCGCATGGATGATGATCTGATTAGTCGACTATCAAAATAATCGTTTGTGGCAGCCCTAGTACATATACAATGACAATAAAGGGCTATTCTATTCCATTCTATTCTATTCTATTGTAAATCTGCTGTGGATCATCTGCCACCAGGCTGCTGAGCAGATTAAAGATCCCACATCTCCCCACTTTAGATGCTGCAGGGAGCACGCCCTCCATCAGGACTCTTAAATCCTCGCCCGTCCCTGCAGAGTCACACTTCTTCAGGGTCTCCGTGGTTCCTCCCGCTCGGCTCAAACAGTTTGTTTGTACTGTCACCTGTTGAAGGTCAGGTGGTGATCAAGCTGCTGAGGCTCTTTCCGGGGACTCGGGGTCAGTGTGGACTATAATTATTATTATTTTGTGATGTGTGTGTCTTCCTCACAATGCTGTCATGTCTGTGTTCCACTTACTGTATGTGTACGCAGGGTGTGTGTGTGTGTTTGTGTGTCTGTGGCTGTTGGATGGATGACACCTGAAGTCCCTGCCACACACCTGCTGCTGATCAGGGCTCATCGGGGGAGCTTAGGAGAGCGTTGGAGCTCCCACTGACGCCGGATCATTGCGTTACATCCCACGTTAGTGTGTGTCAGTGTTGACGGCTGCTTCTGCTGCTTTCCTGCAGGTGGAACCAGAAGGACAGCACAGGGTGTGCAGGAACACGACAGCAGCACGAGCACTGACGTCGGAGGGGAGCGCACACGCGGGAGTCCAGGGAGCAACGGGGATTTATTGTGCATCTGTTATTTACCACACTGTAAAACACACTGTTCACTAAAGAGTCCAGCTTTCGGGTCCTTTGTCCCCACATGACAGGCTCAGCTGAGGTCTGCTGGTTCTCCGGAGCCTTTAAAACAGGGGTCACCAGTCCCAGTCCACGACGGCCGGTGTCCTGCAGGTTTTAGATGCTTGATCCACCACCGCTGATTTAAATGATAAATTACTTTCTCAAGAAGTTCTCCAGAGGCTGGTAATGAACTAATCGCTTCAGGTGTGCTGACCCAGGGTGATCTAAACCTGCAGGGACCCTTGTGGACTTTTTTCAATTCTTTTTGAGTTTTATTTTGTCTTCTGTGTCTCACCTGCTCGTTTTTAAAGCCTTGTTCATACTCTTCGTGCTGCATCTGATTTTCTTGCAGCTTTTAGGCGATGATCTGTTTTCCTTTTTTCAGGATTTTGCGGGACATGCCAAGCTGTTAACATATTCTTTAATGTGTTTAAATGCTGCTCCTGAACCATGTTCCCACTTCAGTTCCAGCATGAAAACCTCTCCTGCTGTTGAAAATCAAACCTGTGCTATCAGGATAAAAAAGAAGCTGTTTTACTTCATTACGGAGTGAAATCTCGCCCCTCTGCCGCCTCATGTGCCAGAACGGCTTCTTCCAGGCCCGTTAAAAACCTGCGGCGCTCCGGCAGCCATCTGGCTGCTGAGCGAGCTGGCAGAACTGACGCTGCTGGCAGAAACAGAGACGATGGTGAGGAGGAGGCTTTTCCCGACTTTCCGCAGTCATCCGAGCTGATTGTTTCATCACCCACTTGGCTCCTTCTCCTCATCATCTTCTTCAGATAAGTGTGTTAAAACTCTTCCAACACATTTTTACTTCCCTGCAGGAAACTGAAAACAGTCGGAAGGAAATCCGCAGCGAGGCTCAGCTGACAGACTTCCCGACTTCAGTTTTTAATGAGACCAACAGCAGGTGGAAAATCTGTCTGTTCATCGGATTCTTTAGCTCGAACAAAACACCAAACAACACGTCGACTCCCTCGGACTGCGTTATGATTTATCTTTTCATTATAGCGCAGACTGAATTTAGGTGATTTTAATAAGAGACGCTACGTCTGGAGCTCGACTCCAACGTTTTTCTCGACTGAAAACTTCAGCACAAACTTTGGTAATGACAGCAGATGGCTGCCTGTTGCCGCGCTGCTATCTGACTGGCGTTTACTCACAGTTGGCAGAACTTCACTTAGAAACAAAGCGAAGCTGCAGTCTCTGTGAACAAAGACCACTGTCTTCTCCAGAAAACATCTCAAAGTAAAAGGACTGAACGCATCCTCCACACGGTCGTCGCAGTAACGCACCGCTGCATTTAGTCAGGCTGAACACGTCTGCAATCAGGTCGGCGAGCTCATTTCTGTGTTTTCCTTGAGCCACATTTAAACGTTTCAGATGATTCATGTGAAATTATTCCTGTTGATTTGATTCGTTTTGCAACGCTTGAGCTCACTCCCACAAGCCGTCCCTCAGCTCAAACATTAGCTCGTGCCAGGTTAGACTAATCACAAAGTTCAACAGCTCAGACGCCGACGCAGACTCCACATAGAGTCGAGCAAACAGAAATGACGGCAGGATTTTGTGAGCTGCAAAGTGAACAAGCGAGCGAAGTCCACCACCTGTCAATAAGTCTCCAATAACACCAGAAAAAGTTGCCAGATCTGTTGCTAGTTGCTTTTTAGAAAAAATGTCGCTCAAAGGTTCTGAAAACTCGCTAAATATAGCGACAAAGTTGCTATATTTAGCAACTTTGTCGCTATATTTAGCAACTTTGTAAAGTATGAATATGCTTTTTGTGACATTTTTGTTTGGTGGTGTGCCGTGCGATTTTTCTAATGGGAAATATGTGCCGTGGCTCCAAAAGGGTGGGAAACACTTTTCCCGTTGTCTTCCATAGACCGGCGAGTCTTTGTTCAACCACAGGTTTCGCCCAGCACCAGGGGTCGAAACCCCGGGGGTTGGGGACCGCTGACCTAGGCAACCAGAGCCGGGAATTTCCTCTAGCAACCGAGTTACAGAGGGAATGTTGTATATCTGGAACGGGCTTAACTCTGAACACTCTGATGATGCTTACCTATCAGGCACTGGGCTTTTGCTTAACCCTTCAAGCGACAAAGTTGCTATATTTAGCAACTTTGTCGCTAAATATAGCGACAGCGACAAAGTTGCTAAGTCGGCAACACTGGAAGTCACTCTGAACCACAGACAAATGGAGTGGAAGACCTGCATTCTGCTTCAAGGCCACCAGGGGGCGAAACCTGTGGTTGAACAAAGACTCGCCGGTCTATGGAAGACAACGGGAAAAGTGTTTCCCACCCTTTTGGAGCCACAGCACATATTTCCCATTAGAAAAATCGCACGGCACACCACCAAACAAAAATGTCACAAAAAGCAGCGAAACAGGCGTAGTGGAAAGCGCTCGGTTTGTTCCCAGTGCACCTTTTTTGCTTTCTTCTGACCATTACTCATGCTAGAGCCTTCAGGGTCGGCGTTTCACCTAATCGGGTGGAACCAGACAATCTTCCACGGCACACCGGATCATTTCAGTGGTTGGGAAACACTGGTATCAGTCAACACCTTCCTGAAGAGTTACAGGCTCAGTCACTCATTTCAGGTGAATTGTCCTGCATATGTAACCTGCTTCCTCACAGCCGCTCACCACATAAGCTCACAAGTGGGTGACGTTCCACTGACTTCATCCATCTGTGGCTTGAACATAGACGTCCGTCCTCATTCCAGGTACTAGATCCTTGTTGGGGTAAAAATACGTTCCTTCAGGCAACAACCAGTGAAATAACTGCTGGAAATGTAAATTTCCAGGTTCTCAACTTGGATGCAAATAACTGAAGTGACAGCCAATTAGAGGGAAGGATACTGCTGTGATTGACACATGAGGGTTACCTAGGCCAGCGGCCCTCAACCGCCATGGACCGGTTCATGCCCGACAATATTTTCACGGACCGGCCTTTAAGGTGTCACGGATAAATACAACAAAATAAAAGTAGTACCAAAAAAAAAGAAGATTTATTCATAACACACGTGAAAAGACCCAGGAAAACTGAGTTAACGATAAAAACGATAACAAAATAACAAAAAAACCAGACATTTCACACCTGAGCCTCAACTCTCGCCCGGTACCAAACGACTCACCGGGCCGAGGCTCGGGGTTGGGGACCGCTGACCTAGGCAACCAGAGCCGGGAATTTCCTCTCGCAACCGATTTACAGAGGGAATGTTGTATATCTGGAATGAGCTTAACTCTGACAGATGATGCTTACCCATCAGGCACTGGGCTTTTACAGGCATCCATGTGACGAGCTGTTACACATTCAGTGTTTTGTCTTTTTCTTTTTCCATCGATCAGTGAAGATTATTGGCACCAAACCCCTAAATGTACACTTAAAAACAAACTGCTGTAATATTGAGCTTTTTTACATGAGAGACACTTTTGGTGCCTCTAGTGGACACAAGAGGAACTGCAGATTAAGTTTAAACATGTTCAGATTTTCAGGTTTAGTTTGTAGTGAAAATGTTCTGAAAAAAAAACTGGATTATGATTCTCAGCCTCGTCAGCTGCTGCTCGGTTAGCAAACACACACGTGTGGAGAGGCTGAACACACACACACACGCGCACACACACAGACAGAAATGTGTTTTGTTATTGTGTCTGCTGCACGCAGGCTGTAATGGAGGCTCTGAAAAGCTGCTGGCTGACAAAAACACGGCGAACAATTAGCTTTTCATCGAGAAAAGAAAAGAAGCCTGAAGAGAAGCTCAGACTTCTGTTTACTGATGTTTTTCTGAAGTGCTGATCTATTAGCAGAAGCTTTGGAAGTCTGTCGGTGTTACAAACTTCACTGGGAACAAAAAGAGCCGTTCAGACCTTCAGCTGAAGTGAGGCTGATGACTGACAGCTTCCTAATGTTCACCTGTGAAAGCACGCACACGCACGGCGGGCGTCCTCTGGCAGATCTCAGTCTCACTCTTCAGTTTCATGACACTCAGGCTCATTTATTCCTGTTTACTTGTTTTCATTGGCTCTCAGGTATTTGTCAGGTGTGTGGAAAAATAGAAACTTCAGTTTTCATTCAACTGTTTCAGAGAAGTTTCTTAAATGGGAGTAAGATCGTCTGACGGGAGGCTTGAAGTTAAATAAAGACCATAAATAATGAAGAAGGAACTGTGACTCACCTGTCCCAGCGTGCACTCCACCGATCCCAGGAAGATCGCCTCCTTCAGGCCGTTGTGGCTGCTGTTGATGTCGTACAGCTCGAAGCGCAGACGCTGCACCTCTTCAAAATAAAAGTCCAGCGTGAAAACCTTTGAGTAGGTAGGGCTGACGCAGCTGCGGATCACCTCCGTCCGATCCACCTGCAGGACACCAAACGAAATAACGTGAGTTATTGCTCGATGGCCTCCACCTGCACGTTTACTGCAAATATTACAGGAACATGAGCGGTATGAAAGCTAATCCAAGGTGCGACTTTTCATTCTTGCATTCCTGTCGTGCACAAACATGTGTGATTATTAATTTTCCAGAGTCATGAGGAACCATGACTGCATTACATCGGTTTTTTAGAACACTTGCAGGTGCAGCAGAAGCAGCATCATGTAGAAGTCTGAAGGACTCCAGCAACCATCAAAGGTAAGAGCTACAGATCAGAAGCATGTTCAGGTTCAGACTCTAAATGCTGAGTCCCTCTTTATCGCCCGCGGCGTCTCTGGGAGAAATTTTAGCAAAAACCGCCTGAACTCTGGAGTCATCGTGGGTCAGCATCCAGCCAGTCAGCCTGAGTTTGCAGTCCGAGACGGTGTCTGCTTTCTAAATCAAATTCAAGTTGAAGGTCATAGTCTTCACACGTTGGGGGAGTCAGAGTGACTAACCTGGGCTAACAGGGAGCATTTCACCCAGTGCAGTCCCACATCACTGCATCTAGTGACGATTTTGAAGGGCAGGCTTTGTTGGCACAGTCTCAGATTTTCTTCTTTTTCTCAATCTTTGTTTTAAACTTCAACATTATTTTATTACTTAATTATTTTTCTGTGTAAATTACATCAATGAAAACTTTTTTGGGGGTTAAATAAACGTAAACTCAAATGAGGGTTGGTTTTTGTTTTCTTTTTAATCTTTTTATCGAAAACAGGATAAAGTGAAGCTCACTTCTGTCTGACCTGTGAAAACATCCTGAACTTTTCCATCAGTAAGTGCTGATGTTATGATGTAGCTGTTAGCTTCTGTTAGCTTCTGCTAGCTTCTGTTAGCTTCTGCTAGCTTCTGTTAGCTTCTGCTAGCTTCTGTTAGCTTCTGTTAGCTTCTGCTAGCTTCTGTTAGCTTCTGCTAGCTTCTGCTAGCTTCTGTTAGCTTCCGCTAGCTTCTGTTAGCTTCTGCTAGCTTCTGTTAGTCTGTGTTATGAAAACTGTCTTTAACGTGGATCTCATATTGTTGAACTTGGACATTTAGTGAACAAACATATGATGTGAGAATGTAATCAAACTGTTTATTTTTTAGGACGCATGACATTAGCTGGTATAATGTTAGCTTATCACCAGGTGTTGTTGGATTTGGTGTTTTATTCAAATGCAGCTGAGAACAGGTGAGTCTTCAACTGAAACTTCAATTGAAACTGTACACGTACAAATGTTAAATGGTCACCGTTTAAAAGAGCTACTTGTGATCTTTAAATCTAAGAGTACATATGATGTGGAACCACTACATTCAACATGAAGGGCAAGATGGCGGCTTCCACAAACTCTCATCACTTCTATGTATTTTTAATGGACTCAGTCTGTTTTTATCAGCACACATCAATTTGTGGGGAGATGTACGTCCACAGTAATCAGAGTACGAGTACAATATACGTTGTTTTTTCTCCTACTGACTCACACAGTCAGTGTGTGACTGACTGTGTTAGTCCACACTTCCCGTGGTGTAAAACAGCTCTAAGGATCACAGTGTGGGATCTGATCCATAAGTCAGAGCAGGAAAGTGATTGTGGTCAGGAAGTGATGAAGTCTTAAATTAGCTGCGAGCTGCTGAGACGCTGCGTGCAGTCGAAGTCCTCGTCCAACAGTCAGAGTCATCCTCGTCTCCTCGTTTTAAGGGACAGATGG